TAGCCATTTTTGAAGAACTATAAATATCTTAGTATCTATTACAAAGGTCATTGTAATACCATTCATGAAGTACTAGATGCTCATGCAGAGATGGCTGTTCGGTATACATTATGTCAGTATGTTGGGGAATATTATTTTAAGGTGTGTTACTTTTGTTTATGTTGCATTTGTTTTAACTCTGTGAAGCTGTGTTACTATGGTTGTCTAAAACACCTGATTGGTCTAAAAAAAGAGATGAATGGCCAATAGCTAGGCAGGAGAGAGGAATAGGTGGGGCTGGCAGGCATAGAGAATAAATGAGGAGCAATCTGGGAGAAAGAATCTGAGGATTGGGGAAAGAGAGAGGAAGGAGGAGGACTTCAGGGGCCAGCCATCCAGCCACCCAGCTATACAGCCAGATACTGAGTAAGAAGGCGAGAAAAGGTATGCAGGAATAGAAAAAGATAAAAGCCCCAGGGCCAAAGATAGACGGAATAATTTAAGTTAAGAAAAGCTGGTAAGAAACAAGCCAAGTTAAGGCCAGGCATTCATAACTAAGAATACGCCTCTGTGTATGATTTATTTGGGAACTGGCTGGTGGGCCCCCCAAAAGAGCCTAAAGAAGAAAATACTACACATCAGTAATTTTACATGCCCTAATTATATTCTTTGAAAATTTTTTATATTTTTATATGAATGGGTGTTTTTCCTGCATGTATGTCTGTGCATCAGATATGTGCAGTACTTCGAGAAGCCGGAAGGGGGCATCATTCCCTCTAGAACTGGAGTTACAAATGTACATGGGAACTGGGCAATAAACACACATCAAGTGTAAGAGCACCCAGTTCCAGTGCTCTTAACTACTGAGGCACCTTTCCAGCCGCATCATTTTCAAGCAATAAAGCTAGATCACTTGATCTTGAATACTTTTATTTATTTCTTATGTATACGAAATTCTGCTTCCATGTATATCTGCAGACCAGCAGAGGGCACCAGATCTCATTCATAATGGATGGTTGTGAGCCACCATGTGGTTGCTGGGAATTGAACTCAGGACCTCTGGAAGAGCAGTCAGCACTCTTAACCTCTGAGCCATCTCTCCAGCCTGACCACAGCAACTCTTATAAAGGAAAACATGTAATCGGGGGTGGCTTACAGTTTCAGAGTTCAGTCCATTATCATCATGGCAGGGAGCATGGCCGCACACAGACAGACATGGTGCTGGAGAAGTTGCTGAGAGTTCTACATCTTGATCCGCAGGCAACAGAAGTAAACTGTGTGCCACACCAAGCATGCTTGAGCATATATGAGGCCTCAGAGTCTATCCCTACAGTGACACACTTACTCCAACAAGGCCGAACTTCCTAATAGTGCCATTCAGTATGGGGGCCATTTTCTTGCTAACCACTACAGTGCCAATAGAGGCCAAAAGAAGGAGTTGGATCCTTTGGAGATGGAGTTACAAACAGGTGGTTTGAACCACCTGGTATGTGCATGGAACTGAACTTGGGTCCTCTATAAGAATAGTAAGCACTCCTTATGGCTTAACAATCTCTCCAGTCCCAACTGCTTGATCTTACCCAGTTTTGTTTTGGTTGTTTTTTATTTTAATTTCAAATATATTTTTAAATGGATCATGTTTTTTTTTTAATTACATACAGAGTTTTTCAAAATGCCTTTATCATCCGGGTGATGGTGGTGCACACCCTGCAAGTATGTCTGTGGACCACTTGCATACCTTATGCCCCTGCAGGCCAGAAGAGGATGTCAGATCCCCTAGAACTGGAGCCTCTTGTTATGAGCTGCCATGTGGGTACTGTGAATTGAACGAGTTTCATCTACAATAGCCACTGCTATTAAATCTTGGATCACCCCTAAAGCCCCTACCTCAGATTTTAGTAATATACCAACATCATGGTTATCAGACATCAGTAATAAAAGGCCCTGCTATATTTTATATTAACCTTAATCAGAACAATTATTCATATTTGACGTCTTCTGTGATGATCCCTCTTCCATATTACTTCAAATAATGACACTTCAACTTCTAAGCTCATACCTGCTCATGTACTCCTTAGACCAGGCAGATTGAGACTTAAAAAAGTTATTATTGTGTGCATGTGTGGATGTGTGGGTAATGTCACTGTTTTGAGTTTGGCTGTGAATGTGGAAGATGATTGTCAGTTTTTCTCCTTCCTCCTTGTTTTGAGGCTGGGTCTCCTCTTGTTTCTGCCATGCTTCATACTCCAGGCTAGCTGGTCTCAGGATTCCAGGTGATTTCCTGTCTCTGCTTCTCATCTTGAAATCAGAGTGCGGGGATTACAGATGCATGCCACCATATCTAGCTATTTAAAGAGTTAAAGTGTGTGTGTGTGTGTGTGTGTGTGTGTGTGTGTGTGTGTGTAGGTATGTGCATAAGTGAATACTGGTATCACTGGAATTCACAAGATGTTGGATCCTCTGGACCTGGAGGTATAGATGGCTGTAACCATCAAACATGAATGCTGGAAACTGAACCGAAGTCATCTACAAGAGCAGTAAGAGTACTTAACTGCTGAGCCATCTCTCCAGTCAGCCCTAAGTTCTTTCTTTTTTTTTTTAAATGTGGGCTCTACTTTCCCTATGGTGAAGTACCTGGCTCAGCCTTGATACAGGAGTGAGGGGCTTGGTCCTGCCTTGACTTGGTATGCCAGACTTTGACAACTCCCCAAGGAAGGCCTTATGCCCTCTGAAGAGTGGATAGGGGGTAGCAAAGGGGGAGGCAAGGGGTGGGAGAAGGAACTGGGGTTGGTATGTAAAATGAAAAATAAATTAAAAAAAATGTAGGCTCTGGGGATTGAACTCAGATAACCAGGCTTGCAAGACTAGCATTTTTACAAGCTGAGTCCTTTTGCCAACCTGATTGGGACTTGTTTTGGTGTTTTGCCTGTATGTATGCCTGTGTTAAGGGTGTCGGGTCAGACAGTTGTGAGCCACCATGTGCTGGGATTGAACCCCAGTCCTCTGAAGAACAGTCAGTGCTCTTAACCACTGAGCCATCTCTCCAGCTCTGGTTCAGACTTCTGATCCCTTGATAGGTAAGGTCCTGCTCAACACAGAAGTCTCAGGAGGGTTTTCAGCTCTTTGTAACTCTTAAGAGATCAAAGTCTCAGAGGAGGAAATTAAGGCAGGATAGAAAGGGACAATTATTGGGGATATAGGAAAAGTGCCCCTCACCCTGGAGTCTGGCTGAAACCTCTCTTTAGGTGAGAAGAATTAATTAGTAAAATTTGCTGTATGGGGGCTGGAGGTTAAGAGCACTGTTCTTCCAGAGGACCTGAGTTCAATTCCCAGCAACCACATGGTGGCTCACAACCATCTATAATGAGATCCGGTGCCCTCTTCCAGCCTGCAGGCAGAACATTGTATACATAATAAAAAAATATTTAAAAAATTTGCTGTAAAGCTTGTCAACATTAAGAATAATGTTCCTTTATTGAATGGACTTTGGGAGCCCACTCCACATAGAGGGATACTCTCTCAACCTAGACACACAGGGGAGGGCTTAGGTCCTGCTCTAAATGATGTGACAGACTTTGAAGATTCCCCATGGAAGGCCTCACCCTCCCTGGGGAGCAGAAAGAGGATGGAAAGGTGGGGGGAAGGGGAGGGAAAGGGAATGTGGATTGACATGTAAAACAAGCTTGTTTCTAATTTAAATAAAAAGGAAAAAATGTTCTTTATATATAGATGTTAAAATAGCAGTGAACCGGCTTAAAATCATGGATGTGTATGATCTTGGGTAGGGACTGAACATTTTCTAGGCATCTCAAACAAGGCTATTAACATTCTGAGTGAAGATAACTGTGGTGGTCTGAGTGAAAATGACCCCCATAGACAAGCAGGAAGTGGCATTTTTGTCAGTGGGGGTGGGCTTTGAGGTTTCAGAAGCTCAAACCAGGCCTAGTGGTTCACTGTCTCTTCCTGTTGCCTGTGGATCCAGATGTAAAAATTTGAACTACCTCTGTAGCACCATGTCTGCTTGCATGCCACCATGAAGATAATGGACTGGACCTCTGAACTGTAAGCCAGTCCCAATTAAATGTTTTCTTTTACATAAGTTGCATGGTCATGACATCTATTCATAGCAATAAAACCTTAACTAAGACAATCTACCTAGACTTTCACTTTGCCACTATAATCTGGATTATAATTCCTCCAGAACCAATTTATAGAATCACTTAGGTTTCTTAGCAACCCTTTAAAGGCAATAACTTCAAAACTTACTATATTGACTAGTTTTATGCCAAATTGACACAAGCTAGAACCATCAGAGAGCCTCAATTTAGAAAATGTTTCCATAAAATTGGAGTGTAGGCAAGTCTGTGGGGCATTTTTTAATTAGTGATCAATGGGGTGGGGGCAGCCCATTGTGCCACCATGGGCTGATGGGTCCTATAAGAAAATAGACTAAGCAAGCCATGGAGAGCAAGCCAGTAATCAGCACCCCTCCATGGCCTCTGTATCAACTCCTGTCTCCAGGTTCCTGCCCTGTGAGTTCATGGCCTCACTAATTTTTTTTTGGGGGGGGTTTCGAGGCAGGGTTTCTCTGTGGCTTTGGAGGCCGTCCTGGAACTAGCTCTTGTAGACCAGGCTGGTCTCGAACTCACAGAGATCTGCCTGCCTCTGCCTCCCGAGTGCTGGGATTAAAGGCGTGTGCCACCACTGCCCATCTGCTTCACTACTTTTGATGATGAATTTTTATATGGAACTATGAATAAACACTTTCCTCCCCAGTTATCTTTGGTCATGATGCTTCATCGTAGCAATAGCAACCCTAAGACACCTACCAAAATCCTATATTTGATTACTTTAACAGAACAAAAGACTCTCCAAGAAGCCCACACCCATAGTCTAAACTATGTTTAGATGTGTCTTAATTTCTTCAGAGTGCTTCTATTTCTCTCCAACCTTCATGCTTATGTCTATAGCAAAGTATCTTTAGTAAACCCCCAACTTTACTTCATAAAAAGGAAAAAATATTTATGTTCTTTAAATTTTATTAAGCATTACATAACATGCGCATAGTATATAATATGCTGCATTTGCCTTCTAGCAGGAACAGATGAATAACCAAGTAATTTTTTCATCCGCCAGGAAAATGCTTCTCTAGTCAATGTTCTCCAAGCCCTGAAAAACATTTTGAAAAGGAGAATGTGAGGATTCTGTTCCCATCAACAAATGTACCATGCTGTTTATTTCCAGTGTCACAGAATGGCATTCTGTTATTAAAGCAAGCGATTCACATGCCACATTTCTGTAACTGCAACAATTGAAACTGATTTGGATTTCAGAATCATTAAATAATGACCTTTAAGGACCCCTCCCATTTTGAGACAGGGTCTCACTTCACAGTCCCAGGTGACATCAAACTCAGAGATTCATTTGCCTTTGCCCTCAGAGTGCTGGGATTAAAAGTGTGCCACCACACCAAGGTCTCATGTAATCCAAGTTCGTCTTAAACTCCCTATGTAACTCCCTATATAAACTCCTGATCCTCCTGCCTCCACCTCGCAAATGCTAGGATTGTAGGGTGAGCACTATACCTGGTTCACTTCATTTTCTGACAGTAGCAAAAGAAAGAAAAGACCTTTTCTTCGCCCTAAAGCTAACTATTCATTTTCTGGATCCCATGCACATGCCCTTCCATGAATTAAAGGACAAAAACAGTAAACAGTAAACTGTCTCACAAAACAGTACCAAACACTAGGGAAATACTGATATCTTCATTCCAATTCTTTATAGATGATGAAGTAGAAAATCAAAGATGTTAGAAATCACCTGATTCTGCCTCAAGAAAACAAAAATCACTTCCCTAAGTCAGTCAAATAGCAGCAGAGCCAAAATTCAAGTACAATGACCCTAACTCTAAAAATGTTGCATCATAAATGTCCAAAGACCTTCTAAAGTGGACATAGTATTGCACATAGTATTGTCATCCCAGCACTTGGGGAGGCAAGGGCAGGATGTTTGCTCTGAGTTTAAGGTTACCCAAGGTTACACAACAAGCTCCAGATCAGCCAGGGCTATGTTTCAAGTACCTGCCTCCAAACGAAAGCAATAGCAAAACCAAAAAATTGTTTACAATGCTCAAGACTGTACTAGAGATGAGTAATGACATTCCTTCTAGGTATGAAAATGACATAGTTAGGATAAATGAAACCATGGAATGTCAAAGCCTGGAATTTAAAAAAGGCAGCTACTTCTTATCTACCTTCATGTCCATGAGATTTGGCTCTCAGACAGCACTGAACTGAGCCCCTGCAGGACTTTTTACACATTCTAACCATGTTTTCTCATTTACAAAATGAACACAAAATGTACCTAGGTTCATTGTGGGGAATCTGTGAGGTAGGAGCAAACACTAGGTGATTTAAGAGACTGAAAGAATTATGAGGGTGAGAGACAGAGATGGCTCAGTGGCAAGAGGCACTTGCGTGCAGACTTGTCAACCTGAGTTGGATTCATGGATTCCATGGGTTATGGGAGAGAACTGATTGCTTCACATTGTCCCCTGCCTTCCACATGTAACTACATTCACATGCAAACATACACGCACTCACACGGTAAGTAAATACATAAAGTTAAAAGTAACTAACGATAAAATCATCTTACAAGTTAAAAAGATACAGCATCAAGCTGAGTAATATTAAAATACTACTTGGCTATTTTTATTTTTGACCTATAAAAATAACAGTTTCATAGAATCCAATCATATATAAAATTATATTAATTCTTTTTATGTTTTGTTTTATGAGATAGGATCTTACTATGTAGTCCAAGTTAGTATCAAATTCATACATTTCCCTGCCATAGCCTCCCAGGGGCTAGGATTACAAGCATGTGCCACCATGATAGCTATATAAATTCTTTAAATAAGGCTTCAAAGGGCTGGCAAGATGGTTCCATGAGTAAAAGTGCCTGCCACCAAGACTAAGGACCTGAATTTGATCCCTGGGACTTACATAGTGAAAGGAGAGAGCTGACTCCCACAAGTTGTCCTCTAATCTCCACATATGTACCATGGCACACACACAAATGAAGAAAAACTTAAAATAAATAGCCAGGCCTAGTCCTACACTCATTTTATCCCAGCACTCAGGAGTCAGATGTAGGCTGATCTGTGAGTTTAAGGCCAACTTGGTCTAAGGCAAGCCAAGGCTAAATACTGAGACCCTGCCTAAAAAATAAAGAAACAGCAAACAAGCAAGTTAATACATGTGACAATGTCCTCCATGTACACATTCATGAGCAAGTGTACCCACACATGCATGAAGGCACATTACACACATAGAATACATCAACAAAGATCATTATATTTGTAAAAGACTGCATACTTCACTAGTAAAAAACATATGGATTAAATAAGTACTGTATGAATTTAGGTAAGGCATTACCAAAACCCACCACAATCTTTCAGTCATCTTACCCTGGACACATAGTAGCGATTGACTCCAGAGACACGTCTATCTCTTTCCATCAAATACCACTGGTAACGAAGGCGACCAACTCTTTTTTCCTTCAAATAAAGGACAACACAGTTTATAAATATGAGTGGCCCAGTAAAAAGATACATTTACAATTTTTCTAAAATGACAAACTGGGGGCTATTCCTGGGTATGCAACTGGCTTCTCAGCACCAACATGTTTTTTTTTTGGGGGGGAAGGTAGGGGGACTTATAACTGGCTTTAAGTCCATTCCAGGTGAGATTTGCTATCTTCTACTCTCCATGGTGCACACAGATAGAAGCCGACACACATACATGTAAGTAATAATACATTTTTACAAAAAGAAATGATTCACTGGAAAAAAAGCCATTGTTGAAACAAAAGCTAAGTGGACAACAAAAAGCCAAACCTCACAAATAAAACTGGACCATTGCTATTAAGGATTAAATTGGTAACTGATTTCTTATACTTCTTACTATTTTGTTTGGCAACATCACGGATTTTTTTCTTTCTTCCTTGTTTTCTCTTTAATTTTTTTAAAAGTTAACACTTTTTTTTTTTTTTGAGCCGGACCTTACTGTAGTCCACCAGGCTTTCCTGGAACTCACTACTCAGACCCAGGTTGACCTCCAGCTGCCATCAATCTCCCTGTTTCAGCTTCCTGAGTGCCATGATTACAGGCAAGAGGCACCAAGCCCAGCTGTTTTGTTTTCCTGGTGAGCCAGTGAGATGGTTCAGCAGGTAAACGTGCTTGCTGCCAAGCCAGAGGACTTGAATTGGATCCCTGGTACCACAAGGTAGGAGACAACTGATCCCTGCAAGGTGTCTTGAGATTTCTGAAAGCTTGCACATGCATGCACACACACTAAATAAAATTGTAATTTTTATAAGTTAAAAAATGGCAGCTGGGTGTAGTGGCTCATGCTTGTAATACCCACACTCTGGAGATAATAGCAGGAGGATCCACAAGTTCAAGGCCAAGTCATGCCATGGAGAATGAGAAAAATGAAGGGAAGAAGAAAGAAATCTAGCTGTTGCTTTGTGACCCCGAGAAACAATACAGGTAGATTACATCTGAAAGACAATTACAAAACCAAAACAAAAATTATAATTTGACAGTACTCTAAAGCTGCGATAGAGGCCTGGGGGTGAGGAAGAACGAAAGTCAGGATGTGAGTTTCTTAAGGCTTGCAAAGGCAAGTGGGGAATTTAAAAGGAGGTAGGACTAATTAAGGATACAGGAACTATAGCTACAGAATTGTGGATGTGAGAAATTAAATCAGCAGAGTGAAGGCGTCAGATGGCTTATCAGATAAAGGCCCTTGCCCTAAGCTTGAAGACCTGAGCTGTACCCCCTGGACCCACACGGTGGAAGGAGAAACGCAATTCTGGCACGTGAAGTTGCGCTCTCCACAGGCGCGCCTTGACACGCCTGCACCCGCATACCTACAAACACGTAAAAATAAAATGACCAGGGGTGGAGACATGGCTTGCTTATTGGTTAAGAGTGCCCGTGGTTCTTGCAGAGGCCTTGAGTCCAATTCCCGGCATCCACTTCTGATGGCTCCTAACCTCCTGTCCCTGCAGATCCAAGAGATCTGGTGCCCTATTCTCATCTCCGCAGGCGCCTACACATATCACGTGCAAACACATCCATCAACTAAACAACTGCCACAAGGAGACGAGTGACGGCAAGGAGCGGGGAGACGACTAACGCCTCTGTCCTCTGCCTAGGCATCAGGGCCCGGCCCTTGTAATCTACCTCGCTAACTGCCGAATGGCTGTTTTGCCTTTTGGGCCACTCTTCCTTAACCCAAAACTAGGTTGTGTTTTGCTAAAGTAAAAAGTGCAGTCTGCCAATCTCCGCTTTCAGGCAACACTAAGAGGAGTCCTGGAGGACCCGCTCAGAAGTCCTCCC